ACAAGGACACAATGCACGCTATATATTCAACAGCTTTGTCTTCTTAAATGCAACCATAATCCTTTCAATCTTTACCTGCAGAAGACTGACCCATCTTTCCATTTGCTTCTCAGTTTCAGCCTGGACATTTCTACTCCCACATACAAGTACCCACTTCCACTTCATATTACTAAAGCCCCAGGATACTAACTTACTGAAAACACAGATCCGTTGTACTGGCTATTAGCAGATTATTCAATCCCTAATAGAATAAAAACCTTAACTGTAAAGTGAAATGAAGTTTTACCAGCTCAAGAAAGAAATAAAATTTTTCCTTTAAATAATGCGTACAAGTCCAATCCACAGCTCTCTATTGCATAAAAAAATAAAGCAGAAGAAATTCCATTCACAGATGTCATTTAATAAACAGCAATAAACCAAAACTGCACTTTGCCAAGCTTCAATATTGTTAACATAACCTTTTGAACTAGTTACTTTACATTTGTTTTTCATAAATACATCTGTTTTACTTCCAGGTTTGTTGGTACAACTGCATTACGCAGTAAAACATTTTGTAAAAACAACAGAAATCAGTGACACAGCTTGAGATTCTAGTGTCTTCTCCAATATTACAAGCATCCTGATGAAAAGTGTGCTTGTCTTCATATTTATTTAGAAAAAGGAATTTAGCTTACGTGCTAAAAACTGTACGTAAGTATGCTGTCTGTGCTGCATTTTTCTCATGTGACACAAATGTAAGGGATTATAAAACAAGTGAATTCACTGGCTTTTCAAATGAGAAGTGGAAGAACAGAAAGCTGGCATTTAGCATTGACACCACACAAGAGAGAAAGGCAATAAAAGGTAAGTGGTTCTGACCTCATTGACTGCCACATAGTATTGCTGCTGCTGGAACCGAGGCGAGTTATCGTTCCTGTCTCTCACCACAATCCGCACTTCATGGTTGATAATGGTGCCAACCTTTTTGTTAACACACTGGACTTGCACCACAATGGACTGAATGGACATGGGTGGCTGTAAGTGAAAACACGTTTCTATAATACGTAGTCAAAACATGAAGTAACAGTTAAATTTTCTACTGATGTTAATACTGCTCAGGTTCACTCAGCCCACCAGCCTGCCTGTGTTATATTTAATGCTCTATATTTGGACCAAAAAGCTTCTCTGAGAATGTCCTGTCTACAATATTTCAATCAGACCGAGAGGTCTCAAAGCTGTATTCTGCAGACCCAGCTTTGCCAGTTGTACGTGCTAACACAGAAATAAAAATCCCCAGCACGATTAGCCCTTCACGCTTCCCTTGAGAACAGCAACAACAACAAAAAAGCACATCTTGTAAACATCTTCTGATTATTGAAAGATATTTAGAAAATGTCAGACATTTTAACCTTCGGTTTATTAATATTGGAATTAAAAGGTCAAGTCAGAAATAAATTCAATATGTTACCATTTACATTTACTAAGTAATTCATAAACAACTTGGCCACCTTGAAGTGTAGACAATACAGAGTCCAATTGTTTTTACTCCAGTGAACACCATACTATTAAAATAAAAATTACTCCCAAACTTGATGAATGGGTGAAGAAATTTAAGCTGGAAAGGCTACTGCTACTTACCTGAGTTAATAAAACAATTCTAAGAAGAATAAAGGAAAAGGCACCTTTGATTGAAAGGGAAATTCAGAGACACTGCTATGGAAACACAGCATTCCAGCATGACTTCTGGTCACAACACTCCCATCACAGCAAGTGCCAATTTACATATTTGAAGCAACAGTATGGCATGTAAAATATTGACAGCAAGTCCACTTAGATTTTGTATCTATCACTCAGCAGAGAGCAAGAAAGCATGGGAAGGGACAAAATGTTTTTGACTGAGATTCTGAGATTTTTTTATTATATAATTATATATATCTACCTAATTATGCTTTCACCTGTTCCAAATGCTAGAAGTTCTTCGATCAATTGATTTTTTGCAGTTTTGCTATGATGGATTTTTAGAACCATATGGCTTTCTATACCCTTCAGGCTTCGGCACTAATCAGTTTTAATGAGTCAACAGACTTGGAGAAAGAAGGGGGCTTCATGGTGCTGCTGAGATCCTACATTAATTATCTATTCTTCCCTATAAATTTACCCTCAACTTTCCCTTTAATGAAGAGCAACATGAGTTTTTAACTAAAAGTCCATTCTCTTTGCTGTAAAAGTCTGCAGCCAGCGATGATGTGGTACTGCTTTTATCAGTGGAACCTCTGACACAGGTAGGTATGTGGCAAACACTATCTGTAACTTTAATTAATAATCTAACATTATAATCTCCATTTATTTTTCAAGATGGCACTCTTTGCAAAAGATCCAAGAATTTTTAGGCCACCTTTAAGAAACTACTGAGTTTATCTAGAGTCATTAATAATGCCCAAGAAAAACAAATTAGTTGTAGCAATAGATACGTAAATAGACGATGTTCTGGATTTGGTCTTTTTCACAAGAACATGGAAAAAAGTAGTTTGGCCCCTTTGGTAAAATGTGACAGTACAGGACCAACATTACTTTCAGATTTGTACAATTTCTGCTGGGTCAGTGCTTAGATTTAAAACCAGGTCTTTAAACAAATACTCATCAATCTGGGCATTTATAGACAATAATGTAAAAACCTAATGGCACAATGTGACAAATCGTTTATGTTACTAGGGACAAATTAACCCAACACCTTTTAGCAGTTCCTTTCCTTTTCTGTTCTGATTATCACTATTCATCCTTCCTACATATTTAAAGTTTCAGGAGAACAGTCTGGAATCTTCTTTTTATCTGTTTTTGTTTGGAAAACATACTGTCATTCTTAGTAAAATCAATCCAGTAAGATTTTCTTTCAAGAAAAGTAATAAAAAAAGAACAGGATCAGGCTAACTGAATCAGCAGGGCGTTGACAAGTGGGCACATCTGAAAGAACAATGGGAAGACTATCCAAATAGATTGAATGCAATTGTATATGCACCATTTGTGAATCAGAGACTACAATTTTTTCTCTGTAACAAAAAAATTGAATTGTAAGGTTCAATTTAATAAAACCCCTGATTTTATTGGTACTACTAAGTTTCAGATAGTTTTCACTTCAAAGATGAGAAGAATAGTTTACTTTTTTTGTTTGTGGGGGGGGGTTTGGTGGGGTTTTTGTTTGTTTTTTTGTTTGTTTGCTTGGTTTTGGGTTTTTTTGGTTTTGGGTTTTTTTTTTAAAAAAGGAACCGCACATGCTCTTGCATGATTTTGCATTTTAGGGGTTAGTATAGCTCTGGTTCTGAAGGCTGGAAACAGCCTTTAGATAAGAGCTATATTAACCAAGTCTATGACATAAATTTCACATTTTTACTCAATCAGCAGGGTTTTTCTGGGTTGCTTTAATTTTCTTTGGCTTGTAACTTAGCAGCAGTTCATTGAGACCGCAGAAGAGAGCTACATTGGGCTCACACCCAAAATCTCAATTACCTTAAATCTCAGATTTTCTTCTCATATCCTAGTAAATCTAAATAAACACAAATGAGTAATTTTACTCAGCACTACTGTAGTAGGGATAAGAAGTGTTACAGCTCACAGTAAAAAAATAATAACCCCTTAAATACCAATGTAAAATCACCAATATTGCCTACATATAATTAAGAAAATATACATCCTCCACTTGTTTCCTTGCAACTTGAGTCTAATTCTGGCAATGAACATCACTGTACTGTGTCTGTATGTATTCACAATAATACAGTATTTGTGAGTTTAGTTAGGCTGTTACTAATATCAGAAATCAAATAGTTTGACAAGGTTGTTTTGGTAAAGCATTTAGGTTAGATTCAGGTAAAGCAGATGAATGAACCTGTAGAGAGAAAAGTGTCACTAAGAGAGGCATTGAAAAAAGAATTAGCACCGATCTAACAGGAATTAATTTTGTTTCCTAATGCTGTATGGATATGCAGACTTGCGTGGGTTGATGAAGAACTGACCCTGCTTTCTCAGAGTGGTCCTTAAGCCTCACCTCAATCCATTAGGGGCTCTCATTTTTTGCCCCAACTTAAAAATAGAACTGAAAGTCAGACACATTCCACACCTGCCTGTCTCCTCAAAGGCGGCCAGCTGTTTGGCACCAGAGGAAACGCCAACTCTTTGCCAATGCACAGAGAAGTCTTCTGCCACCATGTCCATCCTGCCATGGTTTGTGCTGCATAAATTTGCTTCATATATGAAAACCGTTTGTGAATTAAAACTAAATTAAGAACAGCTGAATTCAATTAGCTCTTTTAAACTAAAAACTGAAATAAAGAAAAATTTGCATGTTATTTCTGGTACTTATGAATATATCTCAAAACACATGGAGAAGACAAATTAATCAATCAAGCTAATACAAACAAACTTTGGTGCACTCCACTGAGAACCCCGATCTGCAAAGCACTCTTTCACGTTGACTACAGTCACTTTTGAGGCAATTTTCCTTTCAGATTCTGATGAACCGCAGCAGTGCTATAACATTGTGAGAAAATGCCTCTATTTTTGAAGTGTTTCTCTTCAGTGAAATTAGCATAGATGAGAACACTCTTATTTATTTTATGCTTTCAATCTCTTTTTAAATAAAAATCAAACTTAGCTTGACAATATTTCTTTAACGCTATTAGGAGCGAGCAGACCACACGAATTTTATGCTGTCTTAAAAAAAGAATCTAAAGCAGCACATTGGCAATTGAGTATGTCAAGTTTTGTAAGTGAATTGTAATGTTCACAATCCCATTGCTCTCTCTTGCATCTCCTAAGTCAACGCACACAGCTAGAGCAGGCTTTTAATAAGTGTCATGGGACATGAGGTGAGCAGCACTTCTACCAAACAAAAGCAGCAAACCTGAATAAAAAGTTTTTAATTCGGTAAAAAAAGTCGTTAGGTTTGATATTTATTTCTGCCAACTCGCACATCTGTTTTTTTGGTCTTTATCGTTGTGTTCATCCACATAAAGTAATTATACACACAGTCAGGTTTCTGCATGCTCCCAGTGAGTCCTAATAAAGAATCAAATTAACTCTGTTCACATCCACCTGGGGACAAAAGATAGATGCAGCTATTACATTCTAGCAGGTCCTGTGTTTACAGTCATTCTATGAGCATACACAGATGTAGAAATTAATGTCCACAGGAAGAAAAGAAACCAAACAGCAACCCCCAAACTTACATCCCTGTCCAGAGTTCGGCCAGTGCTATTTAGGTATAACATTTGGCTGATAGGATCCAGGATCACCCAGTAATCGACGTTGTCCTTTAAGGAGAGTTCAATAGTGGGGTCCGGCTCACCTGCTGTTCCTTTGATGAGCATATTGTCAACCAGGATAGTGCCTACAAAAACAGTAAACACATGAGGGGGAAATTTATATAGGCATCTACATTTTTATGTAGTTTCTTAACAGCTGCAACACTAAAAATACTGTTTTCTAATAAGGGTTTCTGGTATTTTATGTTTTGAGTGATGTCAAAAAGTCTGTATAACCTTATTATCTGTAATGAAAAACTGACTCTGACACCAAAGCTCTTCCAGATAATACCAGAAGAAGCACTTGCAACGCACAATAATTTAAGTTGATGATAAGACCCATCATATACAGCTCTCTATTTAACATTATGAGTTTTTTCTCCACTGAGCAATCATCACCCAAACTCACCTCAAACAAATGAAAGCACCGAAATAACAACCAAAACCGGAATAAACTTTCTACATCAAGAGTGTCGCATCAAATTGAGAGGAAAATAAAAGAACAGCTACATAAAGCTCTGTAGGAAAAGAGAGGGTTTATACGTTGAGTTGCTCTGCAACAGAAAACTAAATTGCAGCATAAAGACATCAAAACAGTGGCTACCAAAACAAAGGTAGTACTTAGGACTTAATTAGGACCAGACATCTATTCAACATATATAACATGGTTTTCTTCTTTTCTTGTCCCATCCTGTCATTTAAAAGTCCTGCCTAACAGTTCTATAGTCAGTTCACGGTACCCACGATGTACATAATTTCCTGCATAAAACACTCCAACTTACTTTCCAAATGTCAAGCATTACTAACTATCCTAAACGTTGCATTCTGGTGCCTCAGATTTGCACGCAGAGTATTTATAAACCCTTGTTTAAGATCTCATTTTTCTGAAAAATTAACACTACCCCGTTTTCTTCACACTGAAATATTAAATTGTCTTTGCTGAAGTTCATCAACAGTTATGAAGAAAATCTGTCAATGTCACCACCTGCAGAACATTTAAATTATTTAAAAATACTTATCACATAACCTTCTGTATTAAGGACCCAAATACTTTATTCCAAAGTGCAAAGCAAAGCTTCATTACACCTTTGTAACAACATTGACTCTGTATAAATACATTCATCTGCGGAGAGTAGTTCCAAGTTGGCTTTTTCTGGATAAAATAGTAAAACTCATTACTGGTCTTAATCACAGCAACTTGTTTACAGTCCTATTGAGGAAAACACCACTGTAAGGTTTTTTCAACCATTTATTTTGAAAAGGAAGAAATATTTTTGAAAATTTGATAGGAAGAAATACTACCAGACATCTATAACTTTGCACTAAAGACTGATTTCAAGTCAGAGAAGCAACACCCTTTCAGCCACATGAGAAACACAGTTCCTACCAACGTATTTTATGGCTACCAGCACAACTTCTTGTGCAATACTGTCTGTACAATTATACTCTGACCCAGTAGCTTAAACTAGCATACAGCTTTTGGGATACCACTGCTAGTTTTAATGTAAAGAGGATTCCACCAGGAGAAACAAGCTGATTACCAACCCTGTGACGTGTAAAAGTGGTTATGTCTAGTCATCAATTTCTCCAAAATCTACAAAAACCACCAGCAGCTTCTGTGTATTGCCCTCATCATTGTGCCTCAAAGATGATGCAAAGAAAGGTCAGCAAGCCAAATTTGAGGTCATCTGAACAAAAGGTGCCCCCAGAAAAGCCTCCCCAAAAAACCCACCCAAGATAACGAACACCACAACCACCCCAATGGCTTCAGTTGCTTTGATTTTTTCCAGTCGTCTTGTTCAGACCTGAAGGCAAAGCTGAAGTTATGGCTACATCTTCACTAGCACCAATCCCAACAGAAGGCTCTACACCTCCATTCAAATGGCTCTCGAGGGAAATAAAAATCTGCAATTTCCATCTGTAAACAGCACAGCATTAGGCATTTCAGAAAGGGCCACCTGCGCATAGCAGATCAATAAGGTGGTGTTTATAGAAAATACTACATGGACAAACTCTTGCTGGGAAAAGGAGGAGCTTGAGGGATGGGAGAATTGGGGCAATTGAAGTAACCAAATGTCACAGAAAGGGGAATAGGAGAGGGTTGTGAAAACAGAGCAAAAATGTTTGCAAGGGATAATTAGGAAATAGGGGAGGGAAAAAGCAGAAACAGCTTCTGTCTCCTCTTCCATGTTGAAGACCAAGTCCATGAGCAGCCAAGGGGCATCACAGCAGAAGTTAGAAGGACACTAAGCTACCACAGCTGTCCACCAGTACAACACTTTCAGATGCTTAAGCAATCGTGACATATAAAGAGGGTTTATTTCTCTCCTTAGAAAATTGTTTAAAACAATAAAAAATAAAGATTGTGCCATAATGAAAACTGGTCCCTAGTTTCTACAAAACTCAAGATTATGAATATAATCTAAGTTTAGTAGGTTTTGATTGAAGTGACAGTAGAAAAGGGAAATTACTTTTGGACTTCGCAGTTGCGCTGCTTGTAGAGAAATCCAGCATATGCAACGCTAAAGGAATTAGACAGACAACCGTGGCAGTGCTCTGACTGCTAATAGTCTGCGGGGCCAGGCCCCTGTGAAGGGAGTGATTACCCTTCTATGAACTTCATACAGGTAATCAGAGGAAAAAATACAAACCTCAAAGGCACATCTAAATGCCTCCTGGCACAGCATGCATTTGGAAAAGGCAAGATACAAGGGCCTTAACACCAGAAGCACTTTCTGCATGTTAAGAATTGCAAAAAAATAACTATAATTTTAGACTGCAACATCTACACAAAGAGGAAAGTGCTGCAGAACAAGTCAACAGTGGTTGTAACAGTGTCCTTATACTAACATACACCAAGTATCTTACTACCTGGCATTTGTGTCAGCAAAAGCTTTGGTTCGGTATAGACTATGCACACCATGGTTTGTTGCTCTTTGTCCAAGAAGGCTCCCTTGCCTAATTTCTAGAAGATTGACTCCCGCCAAACTCAGCCTCCTGCAAGGGCTAAAGAACTCAACTTTAATTTTTAATGAACTTGAGAATAAATGATTGCAATTACATACTTAAAAATATTTAATCAACTTAAAATCTTGATGTGATGATCAATTTCATACAGTCTCTAGTAAACTACTCCTACTTAACCGACCTCACTGCTTTGAATTTGGCAACTCGTTCAACTTTCCTCTGTTGCACTCTACAACGGCTATCTGCTTGATTTAACAAAGCACTTCTATTCGGTTTGTTTTGATACAGCGATTCTTTTGTTCTTAAAAATGGACTGTTTTTTCTTCAGATATTCATGAGGCACTTGTACTCTCTCTTCAAGAGACAGCAGTTTGCAAATAAGCATTTTAATAGCCATCCTTAAACGGGATATCTTGGGATATGTCTAAATGGGATATTTTAGTTGAATGTTTTGGTGGAGCCTTTTTTTAAAGAGTGAGGTCTGGGAATAAACCTTATGCTGGCACATGAATCAGGAAACAGCATTCTAGTAGAATGCTACCTGCAGCACTTTTAGGAATTCAAAGGCATTTGCAGTTTCTCTTTCTGCAGTCATTGAGCTCAAGGCATGTGGAGCACAACCCACCCCGCCAGTGACACTACTAAAGGGGTGGCACCAGGCAAAGGCTCAACTTCATGCCCAACATGCCCATATGTACATATGCACACACACACACTCTAAGTCTGCGTGCTGCAGCAAAGACAAGTACCAATAGCTGCCAACAGATAGAAGGAAACTCATCTCTTCTGCACTGTAAAGCAGTGGGGATTTATTCACACCTAGTATATCAAAAAATGAAAACCAATCAAGCAAGGATAGCAAGAAGAGGGAGCCTAAAGAAACAAGAAGCTCCTGCTTTATGAAGAGATGTTGAAGTTCGCACATCAGCAGCAGGTGGGCCGACATCCAGGTGGGCATCTTCACTGGAGCTGGGAAACCCAAGATCAGATGGACCGAGTGGTTATAAACCACCTGCCAAAGGGCAAACAGCATTCCCAGGGGTGCTTCTGCATGTGCATCTTCTGTTGGCCAAGCTGAAGAAACCAAAGCAGGCCGAGAGAGGTTAGAGTTCAGAAAGGTCTCCATGTGCTGGTCCCACCTCTGTCTGCTCAGCACTATTAAGAATGTGCTGCGGAACCCGAGCTCCAACCCACATGCACCTGAGAGCTTCTCCTCTACTCAGTGACACCCGAGCAATGTTTACATAGTATGCAATACATCAGGTTTCTTTCAGACCAAGCAAATGTGCTTTAAAACCTCACTCTATCTCCGTGCTGCTTTCCTCTGCCTGCCACTGATTGTAATGCAATTTGAAAATGGGGATTATTTTCTTATAGAAAGGCATTAGATGGATCAGTTGAAATGGTAGTTGGTTTTATATATATATATATATTTTACAGATTTTTCTTAGTTAAACCTGGATCACAAACTTATTTTTCTACATTTGAAGGTTTATGTCTGTAGAATAGGATGGATTAAAGAGCAATAAATTAGAAGTCAATGGAAAATGAAAACCTTATTGCAGAAGTAAATTCTCAACATTACCATGAACTTACTTAGACCCACGCTACAGTTTCACACACAAAAATAGGATAATTGTATAAAGCCACCTCCCAGATTACCTATTTCCTATTCTCCATCCTCACATCATCAGTAAGGGTCTCTGAGAAGTTTCCAAGGTTGTTTCAAGATTGTTTTCCTGCCATCCTGGCCTGTCTTCTCCTGTCCTGCTCTGCATGCAGCCACAGCCTCCAAGCAATTACAGAGCACAGCTAAAACCAGCCCACTATTTTGGCCAAACTAGGAGTCTGACAAGCTTAGGTTAAGGCTAGTCCTCCCACATTACGCCTTCCCACCTTGAGCCATTGTAAGAATTTGTGTACTACAGGGAAAAGGTCTGTCCTTAAGGCATTGTATAGTACCAGTTTGGGTCCACTGTAAATGGAGGTGACCCATTTTCTTGTTTTAGTGCTTCCCAGCCAGCATGAAGACAGAGACCTAGCACTAACAACTCCTGCCCCAGGCTGAAATGACACAGCAAGATGGTGGAAGTCATTCTAGAGGCAGCTCCTGACTGGG